CATGACTACTTTGTAATAAAAAATTAAATATAGTATAGTATTTTGTTAAAGTAAAACATTATTTAATTATTTAAATTATATAGAAAATGAAAATGTTTCGGATCATAATATTATTGGTGAAGAGTGTACTCAAATTAATTGTGATTTGTTAAGTGACTTATATTATAATCCCAATACTGAAGGTAATTTATTATATTAAATGTTTATAAACTAAAATATTAAATTTTTAAATTGCATTAATTACAGGTTTTGAAAAATATAATGTTGTTATGGTTGATAATAGTGATGAAATAGGTACTGTGAATAACTGTGTTTTGTTAAATTTATCTAATGGTCCTATAACTAAAGGTAATTAAACAGGTTTATATTAATAAAATATTTTATAAAATAAACTATTTAGTGTTATTATATTATGTTATAAAATAATATAGGATTAGAAACTGAGAGTAGTGAAAATGCTTTGGATGATAATTGTGATGAAGTATCTGGTGATCTGTATAACTGTAATTTGTTAAATCTATCTGATATTGCCATTACTGGAGGTAAATGAACAGGTTTATGTTATATTTTTATAAACTCATGTATTAAATTTTTACATTGCACTAATTACAGGTTTTGAAAAATATAATGTTGTTATGGTTGATAATAGTGATGAAATAAATACAGGAAATAACTGTGTTTTGTCAAATTTATCTGATGTTCCTATAACTAAAGGTAATTAGATAGGTTTCTATTAATATATTTTTTAAAATAAACTATTTGGTATTATTATATTAATTATGTTATAAAATAATATAGGATTAGAAACTGGGAGTAGTGAAAATGTTATGGATGATAATTGTGATGAAGTATCTGGTGATCTGTATAACTGTAATTTGTTAAATCTATCTGATATTCCAATTACTGGAGGTAAATGGACAGGTTTATGTTATATTTTTATAAATTGAAATTTTTAGAACTATTTAGTATTATTATGTTATAAATTAAATAATATAGGATTAGAAAGTGAATGTAATAATAATGGAGATGTCAAGGCAAAAAGAAAATTACATTTTCAACCTGGAGATGAATTAGATTGGATGAAAAACAAGAACAAAATGCTGAGAATGAAAGGAAAAAATTATAAGGGATTTAAGAAAAATGAAGATGGTAAATTGGTACTGTCTGAAAGTAAATCTGCTAGGAAAATAGGACCAAGATGTGATTCAGCATTCTGTAAAAAGAATGTAGTTAAGAAAAAAATGTTTTACTATTCAAGATGAAGATAGGGAACAGTTGTTTAAAACATTTTGCGATGAAATGGCATGGTGTGAACGTAAAACTTATGTGGCATCTCTATGTCAGGTAAATCCTACTAAAATTAATAAAACAGGAACCAATACTTCTAGGCGGGCAGACACAATTTCATAATTTTTAAAAATAAAAAATGAAAAATTACAAGTTTGTAAAAAAATGTTTTTACAAACATTATGTTTGAATAAGTGGTCTGTCAGGAATTGGATCATCAAATCTTCATCTGGAACAGGAATTCATAAAAGTCCTGATCCAATAAAAAAAAAAAATTATGTTGTTGGAAGAAGATCTGGTGGAAAAGAGGAAATGATGAATTTTTTTGATAAATTGCCAACATTACCATCACATTATTGTAGATCCAGCACCAACAAATTGTACCTAGAATCATTTTTTGAATCAAAAAAGTCATTGTATGAAGCCTATAAATCTGATATAGCTAATACCAAAAAAAAAACTAATTTGTAAAACCTTGCTTCACCCAAAAAAGATTGCTGTGATTTATGTGAGGGTTTTAAATATGGTCATATCTCACAGAATGATTATAATATGCACCAGAATCGAAAAACTGAAGCTAGGTCTGCTAAAAATTTGAGTAAGGAGATTGCTATAAATGAGCCCAGTAATTATGATTCTTTAACCATGGATGTGCAAGCTGTAAAATTAGCACCTTATATTAGAGCTTGCTAACCTAACCTATTACAAAACAAAACTGTTCATAATTTTACCATATTTAACCAAGCTACTGCAGATGTTTTTTGTTACTTATGGGATGAAACAAATGGTGGTTTAGAGTCTTCTGTATTTGCTACTATGACTTTAGATTATCTAAACCATATAATTGAGAATACTCCTACAATAAGTAATATCTCACTGTTTAGCGATGGTTGCGGGTATCAAAACAGAAACACTACACTTTCAAATGCCCTGTTAAAGTTTGCAATAGAACAAAATGTTACAATTACTCAACAATTTCTAGAAAAAAGACACACACAGATGGAAGTTGATAGTGTTCATCATACTATAGAAATGAAATTAAAAAAAAAGAGAAATTCATTTGCCAACTGACTACATCAATGTTTGTAGGGATGCCCGTACTAAAAATCCTTATAGGGTTAAATATTTAGAATTTTCATGTTTTCATGATTATTCAAGAATTAAATACTACACCTCAATAAGCCCGGGTACGTCTAAAGGTGACCCTACTGTGACAGATATTAGATGTATCAAATATAAACCTGACTCATTTATACAGTTCAAATTAAACTATAACCATGACTGGCAGGATTTACCTCACAGAAACAAAAAAATTGGTAAATTTGAAGTGAAAAAAATGTCTAAAGAACGATTAAAAATCAAAAATGAAAAATTTAACCACCTACAACAACTGAAGAGTGTCTTACCAAGACATACCTGGGAATATTATGACAATATACCTCATACTATTGTAAACAATAAAAACAAAAGTGATTGATAAAATATAGTCTTACATTATGTTCTATAAAGTTTTTAAGTTGGTAAATAAAGATAATATTTTAAATTTAGTATTAATGTATTAAAAGTCAATGATTATTTTATTTATTGAATAGTTTTATTTTCTTCAAGTTTTTAACATAGTGATGTTATTATAAACAAGTCTGCCCTTTTGTTTTAAAATACTATTAACAATATGAATTTTAATTAAATTAATCATAATATTTTTATCTGTAACCATAAATGATATTTCAATTTCAGTATTAATGTCTTAAAAGTTGAATGATTATTTTATTTGTTGAATAGTTTTATTTTGTTCAAGTTTTTAACATAGTGATGTTATTATAAGCAAGTCTGCCCTTTTGTTTTAATATTAATACTATTAACAATATTAATTTTAATTAAATTAATCATAATATTTTTATCTGTAACTATAATTAATGATATTTCAATTTCAGTATTAATGTCTTAAAAGTTTTAAGTTTATTTAATTTTTTTTAATTTCATAACATTTTTTGAATTATTTTATTTTGTTCAAGTTGTTGACAGAATAAAAAAAAAAATGTTAAGTTGTAAAATTTTAATTTCTTCCAGATGTTTTTTGCTTCTCCTGTAAAATTTGATAAAAAAATAACTTACGAGGTTTTGACATGTAGCCATCGATATTAGCAACTATAATAATTCAATTATTAGTAAATAAGTTGTGTTTCTTAATAACACAATTATGTATTATATCTGCAGAGTTCATAAATAAAATGTATAATTAATAACCTGTATTTAATGAATTTTTAATAAGATAATTAACTGAACTAGTCAATCTAAAATGCATGTGTTATATAAGCCATGTATATTACAATGAATACGCAAGATGCATAGGTATGTTACGGTAAAAGTACGAATAGCGGTACTATCGCCGACTGCTGGCGGTAAATGTCCGAATTTAGGGCATTTACCGATTGATTTCGGTAAAACCTAGAATACACAAAATAGTTTGGTCAAACCCCGAATGATTTTTGTAGTTTGGACTTTTACAAATGAGATTTGGTAAATCTTAGGATAAACAATCAGTGTTAGTAAAAGTCCGAAATTGTTTACCAATTATGTGATATTTTTTATGCTGAATGTTAATTAGTATAATATGTAGTCCGAAATTATTATATTATAATTTATTATGTTAAATTTAATTAATGTTATTATTATATATTATGATAAGGGACGTAGAAAATGTAGTACCGGTGCGGACACAAAAAATTAATCAACATCGAGGAGAATCACATATTGGACTTCAAAAACAAGTCAGAAAAATGAAGGAAATGTCAAACAAGCAAATGCCTACTGTATAAGTTGGACAAATCGTCAAGGTTTGAATTCCGGAAGTCGATCGATTTAAATATGTATCGCCCACACATTACTGGCTGTGGTGTTAAAAGTTAAGGATGGAGAATTTTATCGCCTGGGTACAAAAGCAGGAACACTCTCTCAACTTTTCACTCGGAATCAGTTCACTTTATGTGAAGAAAATTTTTTAAAATCGGCAATAATTCCAGAGAATGAAATTGGTATTCGTCAAGGAGTATCACAACTGTCTTTGACTGGCGGACAAGGGTTAATAAGGTGCGACTGTTTGAAGAAATGTATAACAAATCGATGTAAGTGTCAATCCAAAAATGTATTGTGCAATTCAAGATGTCACAGTAGCCAAGCCTGCACAAACAAATAATTGTATTGTTGTAATAAAATATGATAATAGTTTAAACTCTTGTAATACTAATAAAACTAAAAATTTGTTGTCATAATATAAATGTGATAACAGTAAACTGATATATACAGTCCTCAGATTCTTTATAATTTAAATGTTTTCAAGCAAGTTTTTTTTATATAATTTGTTGTGGTAGTGTTAAGTGCTAATCGTTGTCCAATTGTACGTCATGGGGTTCTTTGTCTCTCCGTATTAAGCAAGTATTAAACAAATATTAAGTAGTTTGTTTGTGTATCCGTTTGTTAGATTATCGAATTCTTAAACACTGTTATCATAATCAATTTCCGACGATATCAACATCATTCACACCGTCAGCTGTCTCTTAGTGACTTTAACGCCCGGCGAAAACATTATTCAGTTTTCTTTACCACTACTCTTTGGCTGATATTTGGTGGGTCTTTTGGAGACTTTAACGCTCGTTGTTTTTGTAATACCCAGCCATACTCTTCTCTTGTGTATTATTGTATCGTTTCCTGAAATGTCTACGCCGAGAGCACCCAACGCTAGTTCCAAAGCTTCCACTAGTTCCACTGACCGTGTTACAAGGTCTAAAGCTTCTACTTCAAATGAGGATTTGTTGAATATTATTCTGTCTTTCAAGTCTGAAGTTCTCGCCTCAAATAAAGCACTTTCTAGCTCACAATCATCGCAATTTAATAGTCTCAAATCAGAAGTTTTGAAAATCTCTGAGCAGATGAGTGAACTCAAAAATGAAAATGCAATATTAAAAGAGGAAATTGGTACGTTAAAGTTGAAAATGAATAGCCTTGAAGAAAAAAGCCCCTCAACTAATCCATCTGCAATTACTAACCTGGTTTTACAAGAACTTTTTGAACGTGACCGCTGTTCCTTCAACGTGATTGCTCATGGTGTGTCTGAGTCCACATCTTCTTTGGTAGCCGAACGAACTGCATATGATAAATCCACAATTTCTAATATTTTACTGCCACTTGGAGACTCTCATCCGTTGAATCTCAAGTTCATAAGGATTGGAAAGCCACGTCCAAATAGTACTCGCCCATTGAAGCTAGTTTGTGCTAGCAAAGAGGAAGCAAAATCCTTGCTATACCAATACAATGAACTTAAGCGGTCAGGTACTCAATTTCAAAATGGTTTCAATCTTGTCAAGGATAAGACTCAACTTGAAAGACAACAATTGCGCTCTTGTCACGAAGAAATGGCGGCGCGTGCTGCAAGGGGAGAATTGAATCTGCGCATCTACTTTGAAAATGGATCGCCAAAGGTTGGGACTATCCGGTCAAAAAACGATCATCATCTTCCTCAACTTCCTGTCCATTAACTGGATTCTATCAAAATTGCCGCGGACTGAGAACAAAACTTTCAACTTTTAAACGTAATGTATCTGCTTTAAATTATTCTTTCATTATCATTACTGAAACTTGGTTGTCAGAAAATTTTCTTAATTGTGAACTTGGATTACTCAATTATAATGTATATAGATATGATCGCTGTAACTTAACTAGTTTATGTACCAGAGACGGTGGTGTCCTTATTGGTATACGAAAAGACATACGATCTAGTCTTATAAGTATTTCAAACATGAGTGTTGAACAAATTTACGTACGTTGCACAATTGGTCTGAATTCTTTTGTGATTGGAGGTGTATATATACCTCCTAATTCTCTTTCTAATATATATCACACCCATTCCCAGACCATTGAATCTCTGGTTCAAAATTACCCTTTTTATAAGTTCATCATTTGCGGTGATTATAATTCACCTGAAATTTTATGGGACAATGATGATTGTGGTCTTAATTACTTATTCACTTCTAGTAGTCGTGCAGCTTGTATACCCGGAACGTTTGCTTCTAATGGTTTTTTCCAAAATAATAAAAATTTGAATAGTAATGGATCAATCCTAGATCTAAGTTTTTGTAATATTCATTTCTTAGTTGATAAATCCCTGGAACCAGTAGTCCCTATTGACCCATACCACCCTCCGTTGAACTTAACTCTTCCTTATTCTGATCATACCAATTCTTTAGATAACCGTCACTCTTTTTATAATTTTCGTAAAACTAATTACTCTAACGTAACCTCGTTTATTGGAAGTTATGATTGGAATACTACTCTATCTACCCTCGATCTTGAGACTGCTTTCAATACCTTATTCGATGCCTTGCATTTAAGTATTTTAAATTTTGTACCCAAAAGTAACTTTTGGAGTACTACCTACCCACCATGGTTTAATTCAGAATTAAAACATATCAACATACAGAAGAAAAAAGCACATGTTGAGTATAAATCTAATCCTAATGGTCAAAACTATACTAATTTTTCGTTGCTACGTGCTCGTTTCAAATATATGTCCAAAAAGTGTTTTAATGAATATAACAAACATGTAGAATCTTCATTAACAAATAACCCTAGTGACTTTTGGAAAAATATTAAAAAAAATCGTGCAAGTAATGGTATGCCTATGGAAATTTCTCACAATGGTTATGTTTCGTCTAATAAAACTGAAATTGCTGATATGTTTGCTGATATGTTTTCTTCGGTGTACACAATGAATAATATTAATACTACAAACGATCTAACAAATATTTCAAAATTTGACTTGCCCAATAATGTTTATTTTTCTTTGGATGATGTTCTTAATGGTCTGTCAGCTCTCAAAGGTGATTGGTCAGTGGGTCCTGATGGAATTTGTGGTGAATTTTTATATCAAATAAGGTCAATCATTGCATTTCCACTATTCTCTCCTTTTCGGCGTTCACTGGATGAAGGTATTTTTCCCTCAATATTGAAGTTGAGTAATGTTACACCGATTCCGAAATCAGGTAATTTATCTTGTGCTTTGAATTATAGACCGATTTCAATACAGTCACATATATCAAAACTATTTGAATCTCTAACTTTAAAATACATTCAACCAATGGTTAATGGAATTTTGATGGAAGAGCAACATGGTTTCCGCCAGGGTCGTTCTACACTTACATGTAATCTTGTTTTTACCTCATTGGTTTATGATGCCTTTAAAAACCATAGTCAGGTTGATGTCATTTATACTGACTTTAAAAAGGCATTTGATTCAGTGAATCATGAACTATTAATCCGTGTGCTTAGAGATTCAGGATTTGGTGAACCTCTCATAACTTGGTTCTCTTCTTATCTCTCTGATAGATATTTTGTAGTAAAAGTATTTGGTACTACTTCTAAGGTATCGAAAGCTTCTTCAGGGGTTCCGCAAGGTGGTCATCTGTCCCCAATTCTCTTTTCTTTATTTGTAAATAGTGCTAACAGAGTTTTGAATCATTGTAAACTACTTTGTTTTGCTGTTGATATGAAGCTAATTATGCAAATAAATTCTCCTGATGATTGCCTTAAACTTCAAGCTGATTTAAACAATTTTTACAAATGGTCTCAAGAACTAGGCTTAACTTTGAATCTTGATAAGTGTCATATTATGTCATTCACTAGAAAACATGTTGTAATTAATTGGTCCTACAGTCTAAATAATTCGGTAATCTCCCGTGTTGAAATGATAGTTGACTTAGGTTTTAAGGTCAACAGTTCTCTTGATCCGGGACCGCATATCAACATGATATGCTGTAAAGCTTACAAAATGCTTGGGTTCTTAAAGAGATTGGCTCACGACTTTAAGCTAGGACTATCTTTAAAAATTATTTTTTGTTCACTTGTCCGTCCAATTTTAGAGTATGGTGCTGTTCTTTGGAATCCACATACTGCAGGCCACTCTCGACAACTTTGTATTTTACAAAGAAAATTCCTTAGTTTCGCTGGGTTTATTCTAAATATACATCATCAGCCTGTTTCCGAATTCCTCAATATTGACACCTATTCTAATCGGAGAATTACTCTAGGGTTTAAGTTTCTAAATGGATTGATATCAGGTAACATAGATTCGCCTTACCTTTTAAGCCTAATTAATTTTAGAGTACCTCAACGTATTTCTCGAAATAATGCTCCTTTCTACATTCCTTCTTACACCTCTAATTATTTAGCGAACGAACCTATCACAAGATTAATGTCTCTTGCCAATGTTGACGCCTCCCGCCTCTGTTAATGCTTATACCATATCTATGTATATATTATTAGTTGTAAATCTGTATATATCAAACTTTGTTTTTCAAAAGGGCTAGACCCGTAAATATAAATAAATAAATAAATAAATATAATAATAACATTAATTTAATTTAACATAATAATATATTATAATATAATAATTTCGGTTTGGTAAACAATTTCGGACTTTTACTAACCCTGATTGTTTATCCTAAGATTTACCAAATCTCGTTTGCAAAAGTCCAAACTACAAAAATCATTCGGGGTTTGACCAAACTATTTTGTGTATCCTAGGTTTTACCGAAATCAATCGGTAAATGTCCGAAATTCGGAGCAGCAGTCGGCGAAACCTAGGATTTACTGGTAAATCCTAGGTTTTAAAGCTATTCGCACTTTTACCGTAACACATATATAAACTGTGATAATAAAGAATTCCTAGAATTATAAATCTACATTCTACTATACAAAAAATATAATTTATTATATTATTGTTACCATAATTAATCAGGACTCTTTTTATATAGATGCAGTATAATATATACCAAATAAAATAATGCATAGGTATATTATACTAATTATATAATAAATATTTTAGGTTATACAAAATCATATGTCATTATGAGACAGATTCTCCCATTAAAATGTATTTTAATAAATAATACATTATATAGTATGTATAAATATAAATATATATAGCGTATATTATATTCGAGTAGTTATTGGGTTTACTTTACTTTATTTATCAAAATAAAAAAAAATATTTATTGACTATCTAATATATCATTAAATATTATAGTACCTAAGTAATATGTATAGGACAATAGTCGCATGCTTGCAGTAAATTATAGATTTTAAATTTATAATTGTATTAATTACTCTATTCGACATAAGAAAAGACCCTGGCGGTTAACTTGTACCCAAAAATAGGTATGACTTTGGCTACTAGGTTGAATATGTAGAGGAATCCGTAATCACCCTGCATAGAGTATAAACTGATTGTCACCAATAAAAATTATAGTCACACCTAGATCACTTCTTATATTATGAATATAGAGTATATAAAATATCCAAAATAGTTGGACAAAAAATGTATATAGTATTTATAATAATAATATATTCGCTTTATAAATAGTTTATATAACATTTTAATATTGGTATTATTATTGCAAATATTTTATATGCACAAACATAGAATTATAATCTTACCAAATATAACAGAACAAATGCTCAATGAACAAAATGGAATCTTTCCTTTTTTTCCATTGTAGGAATAGTGTTGCAACAGTTCATCCGTGCACAATTTTGCCATTATTCGCCGTACCATTGCTTCGGTATGTTTCCCACCTATATATGTAAGCTCCTTAACCTAAAAATAAATTTGTTTTGTTCTTTAGATTAATGTACTATATTTTCAATTTGCTAATTATTACAAATTATAAATATTACCAAACATGTTCTAGATTCGCTATCACCAGTAATTTTGTTTTCAAAAGTTTGTAAATCTGTGGTATTATCAATTGGTAATGAACACTCATTCAACTTTTTAATTGAAATATTTTTGTCATAGACCCGAGGCTGATCTTCTAATTGTAACTGTATTGAGTCTAGACATTCCAAAATAACTAGTTGACTGCTCTGAATTTGTTTCAATTCTATTTTCAGAAAAACCATATTTTTGGTAACATAACTTTGGAATTCAATATCTCCTGGATAACAAAATATACATTTTTAATAAGAACTTGTATATGGTCGTAACAATTAAGTTACCACTACTTGTGTTACGAAGAGTATGAACTTCACGAGGTTCTTCCAATTCGTCCAAAATAGTACTTTGATTCGACACAGGGGTACCTATATTATATTATAAAATTATCATAGTATTGAATTATATACATTAAAAAGAAATCTACTTGATCATTATTTAAAATTAATTTTTTTCCAATAGCCAATATTATATTATATTGTAAGATTTCAGGGGCGGACTGGGCCGGCGGGATACCGGGAACTTTCCCGGTGGGCCACTGCTCAAAAATAATTTGTTATTATTATTTATTTATAATAAAATCAGTAGGTAGGTATAAATATAAATTATAAATATTTTGTATTTTCATATCATAACGGTTGAGTGTGAAAAATTGTTTATATTATATTAATTGGTGTATAAGATTTTAGATTTCGGTTCAGCTGATTGACCAGCCCTTCGGCATCAATGCATAATCACAAATTATTATTTATAACTAGGGTGTGAATTTAAATATAAAATGTATTTTTCTCTACATTTTCTTAAACATTGCTTTCCAATCAAAAAAATGTATTTCATACATAAAATAATTTAAAAATGAAATTTTTATTTAGCATTTTTTTAACTTTATTGATTTTTAGAACATTTTTTTGACGTTTTTATGACATTTTTATGGTTTGAAGGCATTTTTGGTAAATTTTATAAGTATAAATACAATTTTATAAACACTATTGCTTAAATTGATTCAATAAGTTCAGTATAATTAAAAATCATTTTTTTTTACTAATATTTCTATTTTATTACGTCTATGTTTACTCCTATGACTTCAGTTAGGTATACAAAACAATACTTGCCAATTATAACTGTCAAAGTTTTTTATTTTAAAATATTAGTTAGCTTCTGACTGACCAGTGATATAATGAAATACAAAATTTAACGACTATACCTATTTAAGTTCTACCTATTTCATTTTATTTTAAATTGGCTTTTAATTTTTCTGGGCATTTTATTAAGCCTTGTAATATTGTAACTAGTGCGTAAAATCGTATTTTAAGGCATTTTTCTTGTTTTTTTATTGTATTTATATCCATGCCCTATTTATAACTTAATATGACTTTATTAAACCAATCGATTAATATATCCACTTCTAGCCAGCCAGTTTTCACTTAATTATATTACCTAATACCTAATATTAAATTGTACACAATAAAAAACATAATATAATAATAATTACATAATAAAAAAATATAAAAAATAATTTGTGATAATTTAATTAAATAAGCTGATAACTAAAAGGTACAGTTCCGTAAGTTCAATGTAACGTTCTTAATTCAAAAAAGTGAAATTTTGAACTTTTTTTATTTTATTGTAGTGTGTTGTTTGATGATTTTGTAATATTTACTTATCTATTTGTTGTTTAAAATGAAAACTAAAAGAAAGTGTGGGGTTCAGAAAATCATAGAGAGAGAGAGAGAGAGAGAAAGGATACTCTTAGAAATATCAAGTTAAAACTTAAAGTAGTAAGAACGACCTATGTTTTTCATCCACAGAAAGTGATACATTATACTATGCAGTATGTAATTAAGATAAAATACTAAACACATAGAGAATCTAAAGTTGTCTCCTGAGAAAATTGAAGATGAGTAGAGGATGCAACCCTCATTTGTTAAAACTTTGGTACCATATTTAATTCTTACATTTAGTGATGACGAAATGGTGAGGGCTGGTCAAAATATAGATTTCCCGGGCTGAATAGTTGCCCCAGTCCGCCCCTGGTACAAATATTGTTATATAGAAATTAATAAACAACAACTCACGTGATGTTTGTTCATTTTTTTTTATTGTAGTAGGTGTTTTATCAAAATAGGAAAGTTGCCTCAAAATTTTGTTTTTCTCAGTGAAATTTTCATGTATCTACAGTTATTCGTTTTTGAATTACAACAAAATAAGGAAATCGCTACATGAGAAATCGAGTAAATATTCAATGTTGTAAAAATTTGAATTTCAAACGCTCATAAAAATTTAATTCGACTTTCTTATAGACATTTTTTTTTTGATAAAGGTAGATAATCTTATAAGGAATCTTGTATTACATTTTCAAATCTTAGGTTTAAACAGAAAAATTTTTGCGAATGCTTAACTCAAAATAATTGCTAATTTTCGTGATTTTTCCATATTTTGTCAATTTTTGAACTTTAAATGCTAATAAAAAAAAATTGTGACTAAGGATTTTTAATATTTTTCATCTGCCTTTGAAACAATATACTAGGAGCCTTCCATTAAATTTCCAAGCTTTCGCAACCAACAAATAAAATTTTATTGATATTTCTAGAAAAAAAAACTAAAAAAAATGAAGAATGAAAATGTCCCTAAACAGTTCAAAATAAATCAAAATATTTTGAAAATGTTATCGTGTATAGAAAATTCAAATATAAACAACCAGTGAAAATGTCATGTATCTACGGTCATTTGTTTTAAAGTTACACCAAAAACCAAATTCGATTTTGTCAAAAACCGATTTTGCGTAAAAATTCCCGTTTTTCCTTAATTTTTATGTTGTTTTTCCCGGCTCTTGTGAAAACTATTGGGAATTTTAAATTTTTACCTCCCAATGCACCAACGATATTCACTTTCCAATCGAACAAGATACTGAAGTCGAAAATCGAAGCATTATTTCGACTACTTATCGTGTACACAGACACAAAAATAAATAAAAAATATAAAAACACACATCATTGTAAAATCAATACATTCATCGTTTCACTCAGAATCTAAAAAAATAAATAATAATATTAACGTTAATAATCAAAATGTCAGTCAAATAATTGTTTATCAAATGTAGTAAAAAAGTAAATAAACATTAAATCACTTAGATCTAGTCAAAATCAATATAGGTAGTCCTTAATATAATAAATAAATAAATAATAATCATAATAATAACAATAATGTTAATAATAAAAATGTCAGTCAAAAAATTGTAAATAAACGTTAAATCACTTAGATCTAAACAAAATCAATATAGTCCATAATATAATAAATAAATAAATAATAATCAAAATGTCAGTCAAAAATTAGGTTTATACTTATTAGATAATCTTTTTACAAAATGTAACCTTGTTATTTTATTTTCATTTAGTTATTTTATCCGATTTTCAACAAATAAAATGTTGTTTCGGCGTTGTTTTCAATATTGACGTATAGAAATTAGAGACATTCTAACTAACATTACAGTATCGGTTTGAATTATCTTTAAAACATCTAAAAATGTATAAATATTTGGATGGGAACTATTAAAAAACTATTAAATTTTTTATGAAAAGACTCACACGCGTTTGTAGTTCGCTGTAAACTTGAACTCTTTTCTGCCCATATTGATGGAGGGAATAGTGATTCTTCTGAAATGTAGTTGTTGACTAAATAGTCAGCAAAATCTACAATTTTAGAATCAACCGGTTGTATTTCTGATAGTTCAAATGAAAAAAAATCACCAACTTCATCTGGACTCAAAAACGATAATCCAAAAATATATGATAGATAGTTGCCAACTTCTCCATTCGTCCCATATTCTTTAGCTAAGCCCAGGTCTTGCATCTTTCGCCATCATGATTGTCCTAGGTGAAATCGGCATCCTTTTGTCAATGTTTCTGGCCAAATTTTCTGAATTGCCTTGTGAATAGAAACTTCAAAGTCAACATAAATTACATCAATCTTAAAATCTTGGCACAATTTTGAACATTCTAAATCAATAGCTTTAAATGTTTTGGAGTAAGAAATAGTTTGCTTATCTTTTAACAAAAAATATACTAATGGCACGTACTAATTGTGAAAAAGGCCATGAACTGTAAATAATTGGCTAATTGGCTAATTGGCTTTATTATTATAAATTGTATAACAAACATAATGTTTAATAAAATAATAATAATAATAAAAATATAATATTTTAGACGGAATTTTTAATAAAAAAAAAGTATTATAAATTATAAATTGTAAATAATTATTAATTTTTCCAATTGTATTTTTTCTGGCTCTTCACGACATTCAAAAAAGCTGTATCATCTTTGACTAAGTGCACGAAATCAGTACAGGAACTATTTGTGGAAGGCAATATATTCAGTGTTATCATTAATTCGTTTTTTATTAAGTCCACTGAACAACGATTTTTAACATCTGTCCATTTTAGTTTCATCATCGAAAAAACCCTCTCTACATGAGAATTAGATGGTGGAATACTTAGAATAAATTCTAATAATATTTCAAAATTTTTTAATTTCTGAATTGATAAAAGTTCTAACCATTTTTCATAAACAGTTAAATTATTTTTGAAGCTAACTGTTGGTATAGCAGGCTTGATAATTGTAAATTCTTCAAATATTTCATCTAAAGAAATTACATCAACTAATCCAAATACTTCAATTATTTTTGCAATATCTTGATAAAGTAACAAATTTGATTTTAAGCAATTTTTGGTTCCAAAAATTTTAGTGGCGAATATTCATAATCAAAATGATTAGATAAATAAGTTAATGCAGTGTTGTAGAACATATAAAAGTCTTTTTTTATAGTATTTATGTTAGATACTGATAATTTATTCTTACATGTGATGAAATTTGAGCCATAAAACTGTTCATTTATGCGAGTTGAAATATTAGTTTTTAACTCATTCATAATATAAAATATCTCGGTGGAACTCGTCTCAGACTTTTGAAGTAATTTACTTGCTTTTTCAAACATAATAGGTAGTAACATTGACACAAAAATGTAAGTAAATACTTGGTTTTTTAAATAAATGTTCAATTTCTGACTCGTCTTCTTCAAAAAATAAAAGTTTTTTTATTTGTTTTGGACAGTCTTCGCCAAGAGAAATAAAATAAGATATCAATGCAGGATAAAACTTGAGAATTTTTTGGATCGCTGGGTCAATTGACAACCA